ACATCAATTATATAAATAACTAGCATGTTCATAAGTATTAAAACTTAAGGTCTTTGAGTACTAACCTTTTGTAGTTCAAATTTCTTTTTCTTCACGAACCGTTTCGAACCACCACTAGTGTCTTCTACACTATTCTCCGACCTTTTGTAGTCCAAATTCCTTTTTCCTCACGAACCGGTTTCGAACCACCACTAGTGTCTTCTCCACTATTCCCCGGCCTTAAAACGAGATTGTGGAATCTGGTGAGTGACTAAACTTGGCAGGGATTTAGTATATATGAAGAGAGAATTTGTGAGAGGTTTTTCTCAAGGTTTTTCCAAGGAAAAAACTTTCATGTACTTTGATCACTCTATTTATAGAGTCATGTTTACACGTTCATGCAAATTTGAGATCACCAAATTTTGATACTCAAAGTTCCACTCAAATGTTTGAGATCATGTTTACACGTAGCTGGGGCGTTTGTCAGGCCAAAGGGCATTACTAGGAATTCAAAAGCCCCGTATCTTGTTACGCACATCATCTTGAGTTTGTCCCCTTCAGCGATATGTACTTGGCAGTACCCTCATCGTAAGTTCAGCTTCGTGAAGTATTTGGCCTCGTGAAGTTGGTCAAACAAATCAGATATTATCGGCAGTGGGTATTTGTTGCTTACAGTCATCTTGTTTAAGGCTCTATAATCTATGCATAGACGAACATCCCATCCTTCTTTTTCTGAACAATACGAGGGCTCCATAAGGTGCATTTGCAAGGCGGATGAATCCTGTCGCCAACAACTCATCTAGTTGTTTCCTCAATTCGGCTAGCTTAGGGGGAGCCATCCGATATGTGTTCTTCGCTGGGGTTTAACCCCAGGGAGAAGTCAATTTCGTGATCGATGCCTCGACGAGGTGGTAATGTTTGTGGTAAGCTCTATGGCATTATGTTGGCATAATTGTCTAGTACATCCTTGATTTCGCTCGAAATAGTTTTCCTCAGTGGTCACTTCTTCCATCAGGGGTATAGCCATAAGTGTGGGTTTCTCTCGTGCGAGTCCTCCTTTCAATTGCATGGCAGAGATCATTCTAAGATTACATAGTTGTTTGATGCTTGCAGGTATTACTGTGGGGTTGTGGTCGGTAATCACCAAGCATTTCGCTAGTGGCATTGGGATAACTTTGTGTTCTAGGAGGAAGTCCATCCCAAGTACCACGTCGAAGTCATCCATATGAACCACGACAAGGTCCATTTCTCCTGATCAGGCCCCTAATTTCAAGGAGGCTCTTTCAGAGACTCCCACGATAGGCAAGTCCTTGGAGTTGACAACTTTCATTTTTTCGGGGTCCTTTTCTACGGTGAGTCCCAATCTTCGGGCTTCATGGTCGGCGATGAAGTTGTGGGTCGCACCTGAGTCTATCAAGGTGCTCTTACTCGGTCATGAGTTTATTGTTGCGTCTATGAACATAAGCCCTTTCTCTATTATCTCCTTTGGTTCAACCTTCTATTGGAGGGCTGACAAGAATTTAAGCGCACCCATTCGGGGGTTGTCTTGATCTTCCCTCTTGTCTTGTGTAGTCTCGACTCTTGTGTCATTGCTCTCTTGAATGGTCACTTGGAGTGCACTGAGAGAGACCCGGTGAGGACAGTAGGACAGTTTGTGGGGGGCCTTTACATAACAGGCATTGTAAAGGTGCCGTCGGGTAGTTCTTTTGTGGGTAAGGTCCTCAAGATGTTCCCGCTTGGTTATTCTGAGGAGGTCTATCTACCCATCCATTTGGTCTGTCATTACTTCCGTTTGGCCTATTGGGGCCTTTGTTTCGATGACCTGACAGCTTATATGCTTTGCCCCTAGTGTTTGGGGTTTGTGTTGTTTTTCTTTGGAAACTCGCTTCGTTCCAAAGTCTAGGAGTCTTTCGACACTGGCGATTGCAGTGGCTAGGTCTTGAACCTTTTTCTCGTATATTTTTGTTTTGGCCCACGGTTGCAACCCATTTATGAAGAGGAATACCTTGTCTTTCTCTGACGTGCCCCTGATATCCAACATCAAGGTCGAGAACTTTCTGACATATTCCCTTATGCTTCCAGTTTGTTTTAGTGCTATTAATTTTTCTCTTGCTATATATTCTACGTTTTCGAGGAAGAATTGGTCCCTCAACTCTCTCTAGAGGTCTTCCCACGAGTCGATGGTGCATAAGCCATTTTCCATGTCTTGCACCTTCGAACACCACCAAAGCTTTGCATTGTCCATGAGATGCATCGTGGATACTTTAACTTTTATGTCATCGGTACAGGCTGGTGTGACTTTGAAGTACTGTTCGACATCAAAGATAAAGTTCTCCAACTGTTTGGCGTCCCGGTTCCCTTTGAAGGGTCTAGGGTCTGGGAACTTCAGTTTGTTGGATCCTGTATGAGTTTATCCTGTTGTGACATTCTTCATGGCTTTCATGGTCACCCCAATCTAGGTGTTCATCTCGGCCATCTTTTCTTGGTTGGCATCGACCGTTGTTCTAAATTCGTCAGCTAATCCCTTAAACAACTTCATCATGGCATTTTGTAGCTCGTCGAACTCTTCGCCATGTCTCTCCTTGTGCGCAACAGAGGTATCAGGGCTACCAACAGGTCTTGAGCTGCTCGTTGGAGCAACTCTTTCTTCGAGCGAGCCTACTCGAAATATTAGTTCTTTAATTGGCAACCCCATCCAGACGGTTGCCCATTGCGTCGATTTCTTCGACTTTTCCATTCAATTCCGTCACTCGTGCGTCCAGGAAGCGGACGGTGTCAGGGACTTCCTTGAGGAACAACATTTCCTCATCTATTAGAGTAAGCCGGTCGCTGCTTGTGATTTGGGTGTCGACTTTGTCGTCGACATGGTTTCGGTCTTTACTATATCATGGAGCTAACAAAGCTCTGATACCACTTGTCACAATCGTACTTTGATGGCAGCGGACTTGCGATTGTGCGACACTTACTTCTCAGCAACAAGTGAGTTAAGCCTATTCGTTCTCGCGTCGCCTACGGCCAAGCGACGTATGCTCGAGCCTCTGGCCTCGGTTCAAGAAGAAGATTTTATAAAACGGGGGCAAAGAAAGAGAGTTTTGAAAGCAAGATTTGAGAAGTTGAAATTGGTGTTATATGGGAATGTAAGCAAAAAGGCAACAGCAATAGTTTACTGCATATAACTATCGGGTATGGAGAAGTTGACAACTAGTCATATCCCCTTATAGTACATTTTGAGGCATTTCATGTATGGCAGGCCTAGACATGATTTTCCCAAAACATCATACTTCCTAGAAATACAAAAGTAAAATACTACAATATGGAAAGACATAAAGGGTTTGGCTTATCATGGGCATGCGGCCATGGGCAACACGCCTTGGACAAGCATGACTGTGACACCTGGCACATGCGGATCGGGTCGAATGTCTTTTGAGTCGAATCGGGTTGGGAAGGCTGCTATGTGTCGTCGATCGAATGGAGATGCGTCACTCCACTACGCACCTAACACGTTGCTCCACCCATGCTTCGACACATGTTCGACGCGCTTCCCCTTCTCTCTCCTCCTGGCAGTCACAACACAGAATCGATTAGGTTTTTTCCACTTTTAATCTATATTTCAAATCGATTCGGTTTCTTCAGCAAAGTTGTAGATACTAATAACAACTACGTCCTGATATTTTTTTCTTGAATTTTACTTCATCACACATTAAGTTATAAACGTCAGAAATAGGTATGTTTTCTTCCTTACCGTTCTTGGATAAACTCTCCGAAGTTCTACTCTCAGTCTTAGATTTCGTCCAAGCTCCTTCACAGAATCTGTAGAGCTCCCTCCCTAGATAAGCATATCTAAATATTGGATCTCGATTTGCAGGAAATACATGAAGTCTTGGATACAAGTTTAGACTATGTCGCTTGGAACGCATGAAATCTTGGACATAGGTTGTCAGGTTCATGTCTTGTCCTGAAAATCTTAGGGGGAGTGTCTTAAGAAACAAAGCTAGAACAAGAACTAAAGATACAGACAAGAATCTAAAACAAGAACTAAGAAACAAAGATAAGAACTAGAAAATGGATCCAAATCCAAGTTCTTAGGACTAACAACCTTGAACCTCATAAATAAGGTCTTTAGATCAGAACCAAGATTAAGAACTCGGAACATAGAACCAAGATCCTTAAGCTAGATCATGACACGATTCATAACTCAATAATATAAGTACTCTAGCAACACAATAAATAAGGTCTTTAGATCATGACACGATTATTTTTTACTTCCTACAAGTAGACTACTTACTCAGTTTTTGTACTCATTTCTCTTCTTTTATGTTTTTTAGGTGACAAGAAGGAGCTAGTCGATGATGGAAGTGGATTTGGAGTAAGTGTCATACAAAAACCATACCGTGTTTCATTTGTTTAACTGTTTTAAGTTATTTTGTCTCCCGAGCCCAATATATTCAAACTTTACTTTAGATTTGGATATAAAATGTAATATTTTGCTCAACCGGTCTCACTGAATCTAATTTAATTTCAAATAAATATCCGCCGAACTCTATCAGCAAGCCTTTTCTTTTGCAATACTTAAAAGGGTCTCTCCTTTCAAGCTGAAGCAAATGATTCAGGTTCGTGAGAAAATTGAACCGACATGAGGCGTCCCTACACACTGAACCAAAAAGACTCTATTTATTGGATCAAGTCATAACCTACAAAGCAGTGGTTCTGAAACATTTTACAGAGATAAGATAACACAGACCTCAGACCAATCGACGGGACTCAAGAAGAAAATTGGGTCGTGAGACTGATATAGAAAAATGTGAACTAAGAGTATAATAAATTAACTCATTTTTTGTTATTTGATTGGGATTTTAAACAATTAATTATGCGATATAAATAGGAAAAAAATAGTGAAATGAAGAGTGAAATCTATAAAACACTCCCGAAGTACTACTTAAAATAGCATTTTCCCCCGTTACGAGAAAAGAAAATTGGAACATTTTCCCTCTTGGTGTTCTTCAATTTTCCCAGCAAATTTCTCAATCTTTGCCGTCATGTTTAGAGCCGCCGTCGGAATCGCTGCTGTAGTTGTTTTGACCTTCGCCAGATTTCGATTCCCTACTGCTCTTATGCTCTAATGTAGAATCGGTACTATTTACAATATCCGAAGCTTCTTTTTGCAGTTTGAAAGATGAATCTCTGCTGTCGTTTCTTCTATTTTCTGATGCGTTGCTGCTTCTAGGTGAAGAGCCTCCATCGCTCGATGAGGAGCTGTTTTTTCTGCTGTGATTTGGCTGTACGTCGTCTTTGAACACCACTCGTTTCTGTTCAGAGTCTTTGTTTTTAGGTTTCTTCTTGCTGGAATTGTCTTTTTGTTCATCTTCATCATCTGAGGTATCTGAGTCGTGGTTTCTTGCGCTTGTGAAATTTGCAGATGCGCCGTCTTTGTCTCCTTTTCCGATTTTTCGAGATTCGGTATCGGAATCCGAAGATTCTGAAGAGTAATCGTCGCCTGCATCATCCTCCTCCTCCTCCTCCTCAGGCTCGGGTTCCGGTGGATAAGGGAGTGGAGTGAGATTCTCGTCTGGAACTGTGGAAAGAAAACTGAGAGCCGTCATGACGTCGGCGATCAGAGGACGGACTTCTGCTTCCTCTTGCAGACACATGGCGGTGACGGCAACGGCCTGATTCAGATCTTTCTCCGGGAACAATCGCCCGAGGAGTGGATCGGCCAGGTCTGGAAATCTCTTTGGATCTCGGAAAAATGGCTGTGCCTGTTATACAGCCATGGCTTCAAAGCTCACATAATTTAAAGGAGTACTGAAATCATTGTCCAATTGATAAATTCTTGGGCAAAGCAGAAGGAAAAGGCCTCTATATTGTGAGTTCATTCTTTTAGCTGTTTATTTCTGCATGTCAATCTCAATAGAAATTTCAAACTGTTCAAATCACCAATATAGTTTTCAATGATCCATCATCTGAAAGTTAGAAACTAAACTAAGTTCCCTAAATTTGGGTTTATTTGTTAATAATTCGACACACGATCCACTAAATTTAAATCCAAACACAAATTAAAAAGAAAATCATACCCAAGTAACAAGATTCTGCTCGTTATGTGGCTTTGTAGTGTCAACGGCTTTTCTTCCGGTAATGAGTTCAAGCATCACAACTCCAAAGCTGTAAATATCAGACTTGGAAGTGAGTTGTCCACCACTTGTGTATTCAGGAGCAGAGTAGCCATAGGTGCCCATGACCCTCGATGGCAACGGTGACTTATCACCGCCAGAGCCGAGCTTTGCGAGCCCGAAATCAGAAAGCTTTGGATTGAAATCCTCGTCTAGCAAGATGTTTGATGACTTCAAATCACGAAATATTATGGGAGGATCTGCTTGATCATGCAGGTATTCCAATCCTTTTGCAACTCCTGATGCTATCTTTATACGAACAAACCAATCCAATGGCTTTTGATCCTCTTTTATGTCTGCCAATATTGAAACATAGTTTAATGAAAACATGTTTGTTTAATAGGTAGCTGATTGATATTATTTGGCAAACAAATTACTGGAGCTTGAGGTGGACGATGCAGCCAGATAAAAAATGGTATGCATTTTGCATGAACTACATTATTTTACACATCATGATGCTAAATCAATCCATCAACATTTACCTTATAATCAAACCACATGATATCTCAATAATGTAACAAAGTTCCTAAGTTTAGAGAATTGAATTTATAATACTCGGAGTACATACCAAAGAGACGATCTTCCAAAGAACCTCCTGGCATATATTCATAGACCAAAATCCTTTGATCTCCATCTGCACAATATCCATTGAACTTCACAAGATTTGGATGGCTTAGAAGGCTCAATTCGTTGACCTCACCAAGAAAATCCTTGTTTCCTTGTAGCCCATTTCTATCCAGCTGCTTCACAGCCACCACCTTAAATAAAAACACACAACCCAAACAAACAATCTCTATGAACATTCCTTTTTAGAATATTACGAACCGAGGAGAGTTAATATCCCGGACTTGTTTGGATCGACTTTCTAATTGCTTAAAGCCATATCTTTCCCCACTTAGAAACACTTCTTTAAGCACGTAGAAAGCCAATCTAAACGTCCCCTTAATCTATGCTCGGAATTTTTGGTTAGTTACCTGGCCACTTTGTAGGGTAGCCTTAAAGACTTTCCCAAATCCACCTTCGCCCAAAAGACATTCCTGACGGAAATTCTTTGTAGCAGTGGCTAGCTCCCGGAAAGTGAAGCTTTGGGCATCTATTTTTTCACCTTCTTGTGGTTTGTCCTTGACTTCCTCAGGAGGCTTCGGTGTGGTAGTCTCTGTTTAATTTAAGTCCCAATCTTCAAATTTAACCCATGCTCTCTTCATTCATACTAAAAGATATTATTTAATTTCATGCTCTTAAATTATTCTTTTTTCGATATTGCTGGCATTTCATTTTTCAGTTTTGTATTTGGCTAAATAAATATTACCCTTAGGTTATTTTTTTTTTAAATCTCATACTTCAAAAATATTAAAATATCAAAATGATGATATAAGCTTATAACATCAAAATACATTATATTAATTATCAATATGATATGACTTAGTAGGGGGGGTGGGAGGGAGGGATGAATGGAGAAGAACAGACCAGGGGACTTGGGGGGCGGAGGAGGAGTGCGGTGGCCGGAGGAGGATGAGGAAGCATTGTCATTGCCGTTCTTATCGATTCCTTTCTTGCTCTTCTGAGACGAGAAACACGGAAAGCAGCTCATTGTTCCTGACTTTTCAGACTCCTTTCTTCAAATCTGGAAACAAACAAAAAATAATACAAAAAAAACAAAACAAAAACAGAGCCCAAAAAAGAGCAGAAGAATCAAGGAGCACAGGGGATTCGAAGAAGAAGAAGAAGAAAAGCAGTTCGATGGAAATGGGCGGGTGGGGGGAAGGAAGGGGAAGGAGGACACGGGGTCCTCCAAGGTTATTGAAGGACCCGGCCAGAGGCGATGGGGGGGAGGGAGTTTGGGGAAGGAGACACCAACAAAACTAGGATTAAAGAAGAGGCCATGGGATTGTGGAACATACAATACAACAATTTTGGGGGGGAAAGAGAAAGAGAAAGAGAAAGAATTGGGGTTTTGAGGATCGAGAAATATGGGGAGATTTGAATGGAATTCTTTACCCATTTTTTTCATTGGAACCACAGAAAAATGCGGCATTTTCATTTCTGTTTCCCTTCCTTTTTTTACATTAATCTTTGAATCATTGGACACGCCCCCGAAACAATCTCTCTTCTAAACAGCCTAACCTTGAACCATGCTTTTACATTATAACTAATCTATGCTTTATTTATTTGCATCAGTGACATAGAATAGATGACGGTGTTCATGTTCCAATTCTATGTCACATTATTTTAGGTCATAATTTTCGATGCTGTTCATGTTCTAATTCACTCTAACTTTGTTATAGTTCTGAATTGTGTTTATTTTTCGATTCCATGCAACATTATTTTAGGTCTTAATTTTTGTCCTACATTATCACATTCCTACTCGATAATTTTGAAATGACCTGAATTATAATTAGGACTTGAACGCTGTCACATTATGTCGTGACCTTACTTTTTTAAAAATTACGATATTAGAATCAATTCCAACCCCAACTTCACCATTTTTAGTTGGACCAAAGAAAATAGGCTGGAGTGAACTGATCGTATCATCATCTCGCCTTACAAGCTCAAATGCCAGCCAAGGTACGCCTAAATCTAGAGCCTCTCGTGTTTGCGTCATTTAGTCTTAATATTTCTTGGGATGTATGTTATAATTTATGTTTCTAATAATTATACTTTAATTTGATTTGTAATTTTCATAATCCATGGTATGAAAATTTTAGTTGATTAGTGTAATATGGAACAACATAGAGTTGAAATACAAGAGGATTATGTTCAAGATCGTAACCTAAAAAGTCTATGCGGATAAAGTTGGATACCTTATCTTAATAACACTACTTAAACATGACTCACTTTATATTATTCGGTACAAATGATTTGATCAAAATTATTCATGTGAAGATGCAAGTGAAAGTATTCTATACAATAAATTTGTATATGAGCTCTATCATCCTAGCTTACATAAAATACATAGTTAATTAATACATAAGTGTTTACATATTTTCACATATCTTTACATAAAGGACATATTACATGAAAAGAAGGAGTACAATAATAGGAAAAATTCAAAAAAAAAAAAATGCCAAAAGAAAGATAATTGAATGGAATATGTCAGGGAACATATTCCATTCACGGACTTTTTTTTTTTTTTTTTTTTTTTTTTTTTTTTTTTTTTTTTTTTTTTTTTTTTTTTTTTTTTTTTTTTTTTTTTTTTTT